GGTTTACCAAGGGAAGTGTAGCACTTCGTCTATGTGAGCACCTGATGTCTGAAGGTTACGCTAAGTTTCGCCTGGCTCTTGTGTGTGGGCAGGTCTTCGAGCCATGCTCAGGCCTAACTACTTTTTTAAGCTCCAATTACTTCTTTATTCCACTTTGCAGTAGTTTCATAACATTCAAAGCAAAACGAAACAATAGCATCGAAATATACCCTATGGGGAGAAGTAGTGTTGCATAATCAATTAAATATGGCATTGCTAATGTTTTGTTCAAGTATTTTGTATACACTTTGCTAATTTTTTTAGTCATATTGGCTTGTGCAACAATAGCCTTTTCACTAAGCGATGGGCAAAGGCCTTAATTCATTGTATTAGTGTTACTTTGCGGTTACTTTGTTGCAATCGACCTGCCTGTTAATTGGACAGATATTAAATCGTCAGACGGTGAGTGCGGCAGCAGCCCACATATTCATACGGCAACTTCACTTGGACTCATTTGGTACTTGGTGCCATGATGACGCTGCGAGCTGTTCCTGTCGATTTTGCTTCTAAATGGACGGAACTTGGTGATGTTTGCTTCAAATTGATTCGATGCGAACGTGTTCCAAATACAATCTGGTACAAAAGTTTTAGTGACGTTTATGCTTTATGCGTGTCTCGTCCCGATCCTCAATCGCCCAAATTGTATGATGCGGTTACGGATGTGTTGAAGGACAGATTGGAGGAGATTTTGAATGAGATTTCGAGTGCTGATGCTGATTCATTGCTAACGAGCTACAACCACCATTGGAATGTCTTCCGTCGCGGATTACAAGACCTAGATAACTTGTTCAAGTAGTTGATTTGTTTAATCGAACTTCGTATTAAAGGTTTTTCAATAGTCAGTATGTTCGTCCCAAACGGCCGTCGGAAGCTGACATGTGTTACAGTGAGGCACTTCCCACTGCCGAGAAGCACAGCATGGAAATTTTGCAGCTTGGGTTGTCGTTATGGAAGTCTTGTTTGATTGATTCTATAAGCTTTCGACTTACTGCGTGTCTTCTGGCTGAGGTTTCAAAGTAATTTTCGCCATTGTAATTGATGGTAGCTAGTGATCGTATGGGGATTGTTTCACACCAGGATGGCATTGTTCCGTGTCTTGAGTCCTTCCTTCGAGTCGATGAGCTGAAGGGACTTACCAAGGTTTTTCTTCGTTACGATCTTTATTTGGCTGTAGGTTGCGCTAAACGTCTATTCTAGTTTGTTCGAATGCCCCTTGGTAGAGGAATCTCGGATTTGCTACACTAACTGGGCGTCTAAAGCTATCGCCTCAATGTCATGCACCGACTACATTTCTGAGGTAATGTCCCTCTGACTTTAGTTTATCATTGCGGCCACGACCTCAAAATATGAGGTTTTTAGTAATGTGCAGGAAATTGAACTTAAGCGTCTGCTTCGGTCTTAGATGGTTTCTAAACGAAAATACCTCTCGAAATTTGCTACTTTGATATAAGTCTGATTGACAGTTTGGCTTTGTTTTAAAAGACCTTAGCTTTCATGCCTTCGATTCTTTTTCGCTGTGTGATTAGCCTTGAAATGTCCATGTTTTCTTTCGGTTCAGGCCTTAAAGTTTCTCAATGAAGAAACGGATAGGGCAACCATGTATTACATACACTCACGAGACCACTTGATTGGTCTCTTTCACGAAATCGTAGTTCACCAACATCTCGGGTTTCTCAATTCCAACGTTACGGAGTTCATACAGACTGAAAATAAGGAAGGTGAGCTGTCGTAGATCCTTATTTCCAACTGTTATTTGCACACCACTGTTTGATGCTACGCATTATTAGTCTAAACTTCACTCCATTAATCAGAAGTGATGTTATGGTTGAGGTGTTGTATTTCGACTTAGTGCTGCGCAAATCCTACTTGCTCCTTGCACCAACCAACCAATGTGCTGAGCTGATTAGATGCTTCGGTTTGCACGTGAAGGATAAAGTTAATAGTGTTCTTGCCGGCATACCGTCTGATCGTGCGGTAGGTGATTGAGTTTCATCACTGCTAATTAGCGCATGATTTGAAGGGGTGTCGCAAATATTCATTTTTTCCCCTTTCAGCTGGCTCCGGCATACTTCGTTGACAACTTACTTCTAGCAAGGGATCACTTTACTGAACTCATTGACAATGTTTTTGACGGAACCTCTACGTACCGCAACGAGATGGACAGGGCGTTTGAGCAGGCCATAAACTCAGCTGCTCCACCTAGGACACAAGCTTCGACAACCTCCTCAGTCTCTGTTTTTTCCTCTCGGTGAGTTTCTTTTACCTTTTATGCGGTTTGCCTCTTTATCTGATTGTCAAAAAATCCGAATTTTGAAGGAATTCGGTTCGCGTGGCTCAATACATCTGTCGATACATGGATGATCTATTGAGACGAACGGACAAACGCTATTCAGACGCTGACCTCGAAGACAAAATTTCTGCCTCCATTGTACTCTTCAAATACATCGAGGAGAAAGATGTATTCAAACAGGTAAAACTTGAATGAATTTTACTGAGTTTACTTCTTGCTCCTTGTACAATGAGATTTTATTCTGTTTCCTTTTCTGGAGTTGCTTCTATGCAGAGAGACATTATGTTTCAACCCTTTCAAATATGACTTGGTTATTGTATACGTGATTGTTTTGCTGAAAGGATTTGGTTGTAGATTTTTAACTTCAGTTAATCTTATTAA